TGCCTCTGCGTGAAGCTGGGCTGCCAGGCGCGTGTCAGGCTCCAGCTCTCGGCTCCGCGGCATAAATCATTTGTTGTCTGAACATTGCATCGAGAAGCATCTTACATGCATGTTAAATGTGGATAAAGACAGCTCTGCTAAAGGATGCCAAGATGAGCTAGTAATAAAACAGCCTTGCCCATTGAAGCGCTGTCTTGAGATTATGGATGCATCTTAAAATTCTCTCCATATTTATTTTAGCAGAAAGACTTTCAGTAGATTCTCCTTTGAGGAGACTCAGCTTGGGCAGAGGAGAGGGCTCAGTGAACATGACGTGCATGGTTGCACCAAACACGTCCCTCAGACGAGACCCTGCGTGCGGGCGCGTGCTGCAGCAAAGAAGTGCGGCAAACCCTGGCTTCACCGTGTCCACGCAGGAATAGCAAAACCTGACCGCTGGAAATACTAAACATTGGCAATGGTTTGTGGCAAGGCCACAAGGACCGAGTCTAAGGTCCTTTTATCCGTTTCCAGCCCTGTCAGCAGTGGCATTTCTCTGTCTTCTCCCATCACTTCTGGAAGATGGAGACAGCACTGATGTTTGTCGTGGCTCTCCCAACCACCCCTTCCGACAAGGTCCGGCTCTTGCTGTGCCAGCCGTGCGCAGCAGATCCCAACTCCACCATCACCAACGCTTTGCATTAAAAAAAAAGACTGTTCCGGGGCTGCTTTATGAACCCACGTTTGCTTCAGCATCTCATGCCCCATCTCGCTTTCCCTCATTGCTTTTCAGCACTCTGCAAGCCACCACGGTGCTGGGCAGCGTAGAGCCCGAGGCTTCCCAAAGCCTGTCCCTCTGGCCTGCAGGCAAACCTTCACTTACTGATCAAAATTCACTGGCTCAGAGCCTTTTCCGTAAGAAATAGCACAGCGAATTCAAAGTGAAGCAAACACTATATTAAACTTCCCTGTTCCCATCACTGCCACATCTCTTGGCTGCTGTCTCTTGATCTCCACAGGCATAGGAAGGAGCTCCTGTAACCCAGAGAACAGGGGCTAGTTGGGGCTGAAGAAGATAAAAGTTGGTTAGTTGTGACTTACAGACACATCTAATCTTTTCCACATCTCTTCTGACCTTGATCTATCACAGGCCTTCCCGGTGACACTTGGGATTGTAAATTATGTGCAGAGAAAACCCTTGAGTTGGAGGCACTTAGCCGCAGTCTCAGAGCTGTGAAAACGTCCGGTGCAGGACAGTTTCCTGTGCAATTGGTTGGTAAATTGGACCTGGACCTTTCGGAGCAGGTTGGAAATGGGCGCTTTTGACTACCACCAGGACTTCCTGAGTGCTGGCAGTCCTTGGAATGGGAGGAGATGGCCCTGCCAACCCCCAGGCAACACTGAATCAGTCAGCCAGGTCCTCCTGGCAATTCAAAGTCAGGAGATACTTGGTCAGCTTGGCCAGTATCTCCGCTGGGACCGGGCAAGAGGTTGGGCTTTGCTCCTGGTCTCCATTGACTGACATCAAGACACGGTCCGTGGTTCCCTCCCCTCTCCTGGGACAGCATAATCCCCTGCCAGTTTTCCAGCAACGTGCTTCCGAACTTCTGCCCTTAATTATTTCCCGTTCTGACCGCAGGATGTCAGTGGCCAGGGGAAAGTCTCAGATTCCTTCCAGGCTGCAAGACATTAATCTTAGTGCTCTGCGATTCCTGCAGCTCACAGCAGCCGTGGACAGCTTCTGCTTCCTCCGGCAACTGAGCCGACATCGGGAACTTTGTCATAAAGATATATCTCTCCAAGGAGCCTTAATTTTTCTTTGAGGACTGAAACAGTATCCAGAGTCTGGAGGATTTGGGGAGTTTTTTTCTGCTTCATTTTAACCTCAGATTATTCCAGGTTTGTGTAAAACAAATTTGTTTCCAGCTATTTCTTACCAGAATGCATCGCATTTTGCATGTTGGGAAAGTCGTTCAAGGTCCCTTTGCTGTTGTTCCAACGCGATGGTAAAAGTGCCTCTGGCTCCAGGTGAGCTTATGTGCAGCTATTGTAGGAAGACAAATATTTAGCAACTCACCATGGCTGAGTGAATCATTAAAATACAGCTTTCTGAGGAGTGCTTAGCCTCCTAGTAATTACGAGAGCTTTTCTGTTTCATTGATTGGGTCTGGAGCAAAGTGTCGTCTCTGTAAAAGCTTCCAGCCCTTTCTATCCAGTTCTGCAGGCGGCTGTTCCGCAGGCGGTGCGGAGCGGTGCCGGGGCCTCCCCAGCCTCCACGCAGCAGCTCCCGGGCGATGGAGCGGCGGGCGTGCTTTTGGTGTGCCCGTTTTTCCACAGGCACTCCTGTGAGCAGGGTGGAGTATTCAGCTGATGTTCAGTGGATAGAAAATTACCTTTTTCTTACGGTACATACCCACAATCACATTTGAATAACCAGTTGCCAGCTCTTTCTGCATGTATTAAAGCCAGCGTTTCCAGTGTTCTTAGAGATGTAAATGACAGTGGCCGGGGTGGGATGTTTGGGGGCACGGAGCATCTCTCCGTGGCTCCTCGGTCTCCGTTTGCTGTTCTCTTTGCAAGCTTTCAGGACACGGCAAAGCATGTCCCCTCGCCACCCATGCACGGTTCTGGGTTAATGACACAGAACTCCCTCGGGATGCCACGGTGTATGTCTGTCTGTCCTGTTAGCCACGGCATCGCCACGGCTCAGCAGCATCTGCTGCTCCTCCCGCGGTGGATGCGGTGGTGGGTGGCTCTGGGCATCGCATGGGCAGTTGCTTGGGGCCAAGGCCGGTCCCTGCTCCTGGCCCCGAGGCGGTAGCGGTGCGATGGGCTCCTGGCGCTGCTGCGGAGATTCGCAGGAGTGTTTTACTAACAGGATCCCCCTCGCCTTGCCGTGTCCCTCTGCCAAGCTCCTGCCTTTGCTCAGAGGGGCCAACTGGGTTTTCTGTGTGACTTGGCAGTAAAACTCGCATCCATTTTATTGAACCAGAAGGAAGAAAAGGGGAAAAAAGTGCTAGCTTATAGTAATAAAGGCCTTTTGAACATCTCAGCTGGATATTTTTCTTCATGAGCGAGAATGCCAAATGTTATCTTGACACTTAATCTTTAATAATAAAAAAGGTGCTTTGTTTGCCAGTGAATTCCAAAATCTGTTTACTCTCTCATGCCTTATTTCTTTTAACTTGCTAGCTTAGATGTCCTACTTACTTTCCCCTGCTACTAGTTCAGAGCTGCATTAAATCATTTATTTTGTAAAATTTACTCTCCTGTCGTTGCAGAGCCGACAGCTGCCGGGTTGACTTTTTTTGACGAGTTAATTAATTCATTTGACAAATGGGGACCTCTTGGGGCAGCGGTGCAGGGGGAAGGGGCCAGGGCAGGAGAGGTGGTGGCCCAGCAGCAAGCCCAGGCTGAGCCCACCGCAGCCCACGGAAGGTGCCACCAAAGCCTTCCCTCGGGCTGCCCTTGTCGGGAGAGCAGGGCTTTCTCCCGGGCTGGTTTCCATCCCCAGTAAAACCCCGCAGTCAGTCAGCGCGGCTCTGACCTGCGGGCTAGCGGCAGAGGGTTATTGCAGGCTATCAAACTTTATAGACCCTTTTTAGTGCTTAATGAAGATACGCGGGAAGTTGCAGCCAGAGGAAAAGGCTGAAGAAATCTTGGCGCAGCCTTGAACGTGGAGGCGATGGGATCTGCCGCGGGTCGGGCACCTGGTTGCACTGCTGCCTGCAGAGCCCGGCCGGGGCTCCTGGCTGGGTGCCTCCCAGGGAAGGCTGCGGTGTTCGTCACCGCCGCTGGACTTGTCCCGTCCCCAGGCGCGTTTGCAAAAGCGCGCTCAGCCTGAGTAACCGGGAGGCTCAAGGCCAGCTGTTAGCCGTTTGCAGTGTGTGTCTCGGCGCTGCCGGTACCTGCACGCGGCGGGGGTGCGGTGAGACGGTAGTTGGGCGTCACGGTGCGGGCAGGCAAGTCTCCGTGCGCTCCTGAAGGACCTTGCAAGTACCGCTCAGGTGTAGCTCCAGCTTCCCGCAAGCCATTTCCATCCAGCTCCTCCTAGTCCGCTAACTTTTCTTTTGCATTGAAACCTCTTACTCATAAATTTTACATCCAAGAGCAACTGTGAGAAATGCCAGAAGCCTGATCATCTAACATGCTTTAATATCTAAATTTATTCTTTAGTACCATTCTTATTTACATTGTTTTTCTGTCTCAAAAACAAAATATAAAGGGAGGAAAAAAATAAAATTTTCTTTTACTTCCACATTAGGAGGTGAGTTGTCATACACCCTCTGGAATTCTTTTTTGCTTTTGATCTTTATTTATTTGTTTAATTTTGGTTGATGTCCCAAGCGTGGTTTTGGAGACGAAGGTAGGTCTTCGCTCTCCAAATCAAAAGGAAAAAAAAATAAATAAAACAACACTCTCCTTGGTCACATTAAAAAAAATTCCATACCATTTAAAGAAAAACAAAATCAACTATTGAACTATTTCTACAGCTTACTAATTTAAAAGGGCGGGTTTTTTTCAAAAGTATCGAATGGATCCAAAAATGATTTTACTAGACGCGATTGAAGTTATTTGCTGTCAACATTTTAATATCAATATTACCACAATGTGTAGTCTCAAACTAGTTCCTTTGTAGTTTGCATGGGATGTGAATGCTGTCTCGGCGTGCCCAGACCTAGAGAACTTGTTACTACTGCATGAGCATCAAGTCAGATGTTGAAAAATATCTATTATATTTTGTGATAATTTGGTGAAAATGAGCACCTCCAGTCTCTGGTTGCAGTAGTGTGTTGAATGATTGTTCTTTTTTTTTTATATATATCCATATCTATATTTTTGGAGCTCTAAGCTTCGTAGTAGTACGGGCTGACTCTTATCCAGTACTTGCTCTCCTATCGCATGGCCTTGGTTAAGTGTTAGAAGTTGGGCCTAGGCTGTTTATTCTGGTGTTTGGCTTTGTAATAACGGTGCATGCCCGGCGTCTGGCCTCATACCCAGCTTTATTCTCTGCACACCAGTCTTGAATAGCTACAGTGCTCAACCGAATTTTGGCGCACCCGCTTCCCCGGCAGGCTCCAACCCAGCCCGACCCGGAGGCTTCCCCGGGGCCAACAGCCCAGGGCCCGTCGCGGACCTCTACGGCACGGCCAGCCAGGACTCCGGCGTGGGTAACTACATAAGCGCCGCCAGCCCGCAGCCGGGCTCCGGCTTCGGCCATGGGATCGCCGTAAGTACCGCGCGCGCTGGCGCCAGAGCCGCCGCCCCTGTTTCTTGGTCGAGGGGGTGGGTTTCATTGTTTAATGACATTGGGGGAGGGTATGTTGGGTTTTTTGTTAATTATGACCTGACGGCAAGCGTAGCGCCTTGCTGCTGTAGCCTGCTAGAGCTATTCCCAACCCACTGGCGCTGCCAACCAGCTGCCTGGCGTGCCGCTCCAGGTGCCAACTCGGCTGGAAACGCTTGTCTGGTGCCTTCTGTAGTCCAGACTCAACACATTTCAAAAGGAGATATTTAATAATTTAATAATTACGGGCTTTAAAGTTTCTGCTTATGCTATACGGGCTTTGTATCAGCCCAACCACCCATCCCGGCTGATGGGCCCATTTGCAGACAACACAGCAGTCCCTGCTCCTGCCTAAACGAGGAAGAAAGCGGTTCATTAATTCAGCCGGCGGGACCCCAGGGTTGCCCACAGCCACCCCAGCAAGGGGACGGCCATCCCACCGCTGGCCACGGGGCTGTCCCGCTCCCCGCCACCCATCCCTGTAACTGCAGCATCCCTGTGGACGGGGGGTGGACGCCAACCCCCTGGGTCACTTCCAGCTGGGTACGACATCACTAACAGTCCTAAAATCTGCAGGTTACAAGTAAGTCGCTTCTGGTTTGTTGTCAAGTCATTAGAAAAGTAATTCTTTAATGCCGCGTGGGTCTGCAATCTCACTAATTACGGACAACGGAGATTTGCTTAACAAAGCTGCATGCTGGTTTTCAGATCGCGCTGTTTTACCTGTGTGTGTTAGCATGAATGTGGTTGGACCTCTTTGGTGGCTGTCAGTCTCCCAAACAGAAAAACTGCAACTTCTGAAGTTGGTTCCCTTTTTTTCAGCAAAAATATTTGATGTTTTTCCCTCTTTTGTGGTAAAGATGTCAGAGTACAGAGGGCTCCCCCAAGATGCCTCAAACTGAGCGGAGAATTTCACTCTTTGACCAAATCGGATGAGTGGGGGGAGCGGGAGCGTAGTGCAGACAAAAGCTCCTGAAATTGTGTTATTTTTATTGCATAAGCAACCAGTACCCAAAAAGACAAAAAAAAACCCTGCTGCCTCCATTTGTGCCCTCGTGCTCAATTCCCGTCCTGGTCCTGCCCCTCCTGTGGTCACGCCAGCGACTTGACAGTCCCTTCAGATCAATGCTGGTACCAAACACGGGATATTATTGCTCCGCTAAGAGCTACATCAATTTAAACTGCCATCTCTCACCACTATACAACACCTCTTATTTCCATTTTTCACCTAAAGAAAAAGACCTGTTTGTTCTTGAAAACTTGGGCACTTTGGCCTCGGCAACCTCCCGATTTTTCAAGTAAGAGGATATGAGGTGCAAGCCTGGGTATCCGGATTTGTCTGCACTAACACTTCTCCGAAGAACGATTTTGCATTTGACTTGCAGATTGGCAGCCTCTTAATTTCCCCCAATAACTGCAAAGAATCCCGTAGTCTTTTTTACATATATATTTATTTAACCCTGTCCATTTACTAACCCTGGTTTAAAACTAAAGAAGGGAAAATCCAAAGCTTATTTTTGCAACCAGGGGAATGAGATTATGGTCTTGGAAAGGTAACCGTAGGGTTCAGCACACCGAGCCACTGGTGACCAGAACAGCTCTCGGAAATACCTATTCATGCTGGCAGCACAGTCTTTCAAGTCCTTTGATAATTTCTTGCCAAAATTAATAATCATCTGTTCCCATGTATAGAGCACTGATGAACTTAACAATTGTACAATTTTAGGGACCTTTGATTGCAACGGCTTTTACAAATGGATACCATTGAAACGTTACACATGGTTGGTTGCCATCTCACTTGGAGGTATTACCGTATATACCATTTGTACTTTGTGCTAAACTACCATCTCCCCTATATTTACTTTAAGTGAACAATTTTTTATCTTCATTTCGTCTTTCCTTGGCCTTTAATCATTCCTTTCTGTGATTTATATTATTCAAATCAATCTCATGGGTTGGAAACTGGAAGGCAGATCGGGAGCTAAACCCCCAAAAAGTCACGTTTCCATGTTCATGACACTTGGTGCAATAATTTGGAGAGTCAAAAACCCTGCAGAAAACCCAGCGATCCCCGAAACCTGTGGGGAAACGACCAAGCTGGCAGCATCCCGATGGGGAGTATAGATCCACTACCAAGGCACTGGTCTAAAAATAGGCGAGCCCCACTGCTTTATTACAGAGAAGCCATCATTCTTTATTAAGTGCTGTACCAAATATTACAGCTAAAAGATAACATTGTAACTAGTAACCATAGAGCAATTATCAAGATTAAAAAAAAAATTAAACCTAAGCAAATTAAATTAAAGACATTACCTGAGTAATGCATCCTTGGATCGCTGCCAGTTTCCTACCCTTTGAACTAAGCTCAAGTTAATTAAATGTTTAATTTTTTTTTTATTTTTATTTTTTTGGCCTTTGGCATATTCATCTTTGCAAACAAATATTCGTACACCGAGAACAGAGTAGATGAGACAAGTCAGTCAATGAAAACCAGAAGTTACCCCCATTAAGTGGCACAGGTTTACCTCTAGAGCTCTTAGTCCATACAGACAAACGTCATGGACGTGACAGATTTTATTTCTCTGCCTTTTGCCTGGCTCTACCTGATCAATGTCACATGTTTTATGTTCAAAATTGGTGTATGGAATTAGAATTACAGTTAGTCAAGGGGCTGGGAACTGTGGAAAATGTTTGGAGGTTTTAAATTATCTAAAACCAGATTTACACCTAAATACTAGTGGATAAAGGGGTTTTCTGTTTACTCCTCATCTACCCGCATACACCCAAGATTACCTGAAATTGTTCCGTCAATTGATTTGCTCCACCAAGTAGTACTTTTTTATGGGAAAGAAAAAAGTGGCATAAGCACTCTTGCTTTAATCCCCGTTATTATTCGCACGTATCAGTGTATGTTCACAGATCAATTTGTCAGTATCCTTCACGTTTTCTGGGCCGTCAGCCTTTGTCATACCGAGGTGGTACACAACGCCGGCTGGAGACCTAAGCAGAACATCATAATTCACGCTAATAACGCTGCAATGAAGGCAGCGTTCATCAGATTAATGTATTGTAATCATTTTACACTTACCACAACACATCAAACTGTAACCATCATTTACTGGCCAGTATTAAGACTCAAACCATTAATGACTTAAAAACAGAAAGTGCTTTTAATGTTGCTCATTACTAATTAAAATAGATTTTGAGAGGAGGAAATGAGCCTTATTATTAATTCCTCAAGGACCAATGAGTTTGAAATTTTTATTGCGGCGGCGCATCCCGAGGCGCCTGGTCCCTCGCCCGCCCCGGCTGCCCCCGCTCCCCGGGCCAGGACGCGGCGGCAGAGGATGGATTTGGCTGAGCTGCGGCTCCCCGGGGCAGGGACCGGCCGTTCCCACAGACCTGCGGGGCCCTGGTGGGACCTCACCCTGGGCACGGCCGTTTGGGGATGGGTTTTGGAGGTCACCAAAAACGCATGACCGGGATGCATTCCTTGCCGCAGCCAGCCCTGCGAGCGGCTGCCTGCAGAGCCGGTCCCCTAATATTTATTTCCATCTCAACATTGAGCACCAGCAGGAACAGAGCATTAGAAGCTGAAGGCTCTGTTATAAAATAAATCATCACTGCTGCAGTGTGCCCATGTAAAAGTTGTTACCTTTCAAGTACTTTAGCCTTTAGAAAAAACTCATTTTACCGAAGCCTTGTAAATTCCTGGCGTAACAGATGCCTGAGGAACAGTTTTTGTCTTTCCGATATATCAAGTCGCATTTTATTGTTCCTAAACCAGGCTAGCACACAGCTAACCCCAGCCTGCCTGGGAACGCGCTGCCTGCCTGAAGTCCAGGCTTAGCTGGCAGGCTGCTTTCCACCGGGAAGGAGCTGGAAAGTAAGAGCAGTAAATACATGAAATACACTCTCCCACGGCGGCCGTCCCGGGAACGCCTCTGCATTTCAGCCGGGTCGCTCCGGATTCACCCTTGGTGTGGATCAGAGCACGCCGCGGCTTCGCGAAGCGTTTGCAGACACGTGGCGGGTTTTGTTAAAAATCCCACTTGACCTCGTTTAATTCTCACTTTCCGCCGTGTCCTGTTTCTGCCTTCTCCTCCCTGCAGAGTCTCTCTGGATGTCCGGGCAAGACGGGGCGAAGTTTCTGAACGGGCCCACGTTTGGGTGATCTCATCAGACTTTGAGCACTACATCATCACCGATAACGCAAACAAACTGGAGGTGGCACTCGACGGACTTAGGTTGTTTAAAATCTCTCTCATCATCTCATGAATCTGCTGTACTATAAAAACAACAGATTTAAAAGTATGTATATAAAATCCATTTCTTGTTCGTTTTATTTTCTTGATGGGTTCCCCCCCCTCTTTTTAAACCTCTCCAAATCACATTTTTTCGTAGCATTTTGACATAGTCTCGTAGCCACGTAGTTCTAATTCTTTGTGTATGTAGCAAGAGCCTAACCATAGCGTAACTGTTTATATTAAGGGGTTTCTTTCGTTTTTCTTTCCCCCCTCCTCTCCTTCTCCCTTCTGTTTTACGTAGTCGTTGTTGCTTAAAGGATGCTGAGATGGTGACAGGAGTCTCAGCCGCTGGTACCGGCTCTGCAGCCGCCAAGGGTGGCGGGGGGAGCAGAGCCGGCGGCGGGCACGGTTTCGGGGCGGCCTTGCAGGGCGCGGGGGCGCGGGTGAGCAGCAGGTTCTCTAGCCCTTCTTTTCGTTTGTGGCGTCTTCGTTAACCTAATTCTATCTATTTTCGGCAATAAGGCAAGGACTACAAACTTTTTGTGCGTCCTTTTTCTATAAGTGCTTTTTTTTGTTGAAAGAGGTGATATAAGGTTTTTTGAAATTGTGAATTCTGAAGAAAAAAAAAAATACTGTAAATACAATTCCATTAACTACATATAAACTATTAAGAAAGAGAAATACAAACCTATTTTTGTGATGGAGTCAGCCTAAGGCAGTTTCTCTATGAAAATGGACGAAAAAAAAAAAAGAAAGTTTGAGACTTTTTGACCAACTGCCGGAGCTGGCCCGCGGGAGTTAGGTGATGCACACACTGTTCAGCTTGCTCCGTAGGCGTGGTAGACCTTCCAGCTCTCCTAGCGTCATACCAGCATCTTCGCTATCAGACGTGCACAGCTTACAAAGGAACAGTCTAGTGGTATTTTTTTAATTTAAAACCTGCTTTTCCCAAGACTGAAAAAGAAGCTACGATTTTCCTATTTAACGCATTTACGGTTCAAAGCACACCTTTTTTTTTTTTTTTAGTTGTTGTTTTAAACTAGATCAACTTGCTGTCCAGTCATTTCAGCTGCTCTGGGCACCCTGCGCAGCCCGGGCGGAGGCGAGGTCCCTCCTCGGCGCTCGCCTGCTGCAGGCAGAGCGGCTTCCAAGCTTGCATGGTTACCTTTTTTATCCATTACTTTCTGTATTAACAAATTAGGAAAGCAACTTTGGTTTTGTTTTTGGTTGGTTTTGTTTTTTTTTTTGGGAATACCTCAGTGCTACAAGTTTCACCCTAGAAGCAACGGAAGATTTTAATTTATTGTAGTTGTAAACAGAATTTTAAAAAAAAAATAAAGTATAAAACATCATTGCACTGTGACTGGTAGGGGAAAAACTGACAGTTTCCTATTTGCACATGTTTAATATTTGGCTGTTATATATATGGTCCTCTGTTGGGGGAGGAAACTTATGAAGGATATTTTTTAATTTAATTTTTTTAATATTGGTAAATAGGCCTGCAACAGCAAACTAGAAGTACAACATGGTAGGTGGCATTAAGAACATACTGTAGTGTGGATATATTTCTTCTTTTTTTAACGTAATATTGACGAGTTTTATTAATATTTTTTTAAATTGTTACGTTTATAAATTTGGTACTTTAGGTACAGCCAGTATAAGACACTGAATGCGACATTTGTTAAAAAGAGCTGCTGCACTCCTATTTTTGTAAATTTTACTAACAAGTAGACTAATGTAGACATTCAATAGACAAGGTAGAGCAAGGCATCTTTAACAAAAACAAGGCACCATACTGCTAACCGAAAGGAGAAAACCTTGTTTTTCTTGTTTTTAAAAAAGAATCATGCTTTTTATGTAACGTTTTAGGTTTTTTTCTTATTTCAGAACAACCAGGTTTAAGCAAAATGCTGGACGCTTTTTAAATATTGAGACTTGATCAAGTAATAAAATAAATAAAACAATTCTTTAAAAAATAAAAACGAAAAAAAAACAACGAACCAAATTCCCTGGAATTCAATGTACCGTCAGGGAATTTTTTATTGATATTTTGTCAATGTTGATGATGTACTGTACTACCAGTTGGTTTTCCTCTCCATTCCCTGTCACCTCATAGAATATTCTTTGTTGATCATTGTTGTATGTTAATAGTGTATAAAATGGCTATCTTGTAAGAGTGCTGTCCTGATGCTAGTGTAGTGAATTTTTCCCCCCCTCTTTCTCTCTTCCTCTTCTAGTACATATTGGTAGGTGTATCGTAATTAAGGTTAAAAATTTAGATGTAGTTATTCAGATTTAGGACCAGTAAGGATAGAACTTTCTCTTATTTAAGACAAAAATGCTAATAATTTTGGGAAGGTTTTCCTTTTTTTTTTTTCCTTCTTTCCTCCTTTCTTTGTTTTCTTTTTTCTCTTGTTTTGTTTTTTTTCTTTTGCTGATCTGATGCGGTTTCAACTAACCAAAGGTCTCACAACGTTAAAAATGCTGGCAAACTCCTAAGGCATTTGTAGATCCCCACCCTTGACTTTGAAAAGGGGATGTGCCATACTACCTTAAATGCTAATGCTAGATATGCAAAACTGGATTTTTTTAATTTATTTTTTAAAAGAGGGAGGCACGGTATATTAAAACGATTTTACTAAGAGAAAAAAAAAATATTTTTTTAAGAATGCTCAGAAGAAATTGCTAATCTGTGTGAATATGTTTTAGATGTTTATATACCTTTTGAGAAGTCCCAGTGGCCCATAGCACAAATGTCGTGGAATCCAATATGTTTTGATGTGGCTACCTAGACTAAGGTTCACGTTAGTCCCCCACTCATCTAGAAGTCCATTTTGAAGGGTTTTTTTTTACCTTTGTTCGTTCGTTTGGGGGTTTTTTGTAAATTTTTCAGCACAAAGGTTCAGCTCCACCTTTGTTTTAGTCAAGCACAGCGAGTGAAGGATCGTTCCAAGGGATATTGCCCTTTTCTTTCCAAATATCTCATACGGACCCGCTACCCCCGGAGCGACCAAAAAGAGAGAGATTTCCATCTCGTTGTGCGAAATGGGCACCCCAAGCGCCTCCCCAGCGCGGGCAGCAGCGCAGGCAGGTTCATCCCCTGCCCGGAGCGCCTGGCACCGCGCCGACCCTGCCGAGGGACGGGCCGCGTCCCAAACACGAGGGACGTTTTACAAGGAGTCGTAGCAAGCCACAAGAGCTCGGGTACCCTCCCCGCTTCAAAACAAAAAAGTCATTTGTGATTGGCTTGATTAAAATGAAGCCTGATCTGTCCTTTTTTTTTTTTTTTTTTTTTTTTGTTCCTTATACTTCATAAATGTTCATTTTAAGTTGAATTTGTAGCTTGGACTTTAAGGTAGCATGGCTCTCTTTGCTGTAAGTTTATTTTTTTTCCATTGTACGGCAGCGTACCGCTGGTGAATGTCACACATCTTGCTAGGCTAGTTAAACCATTGGGTAATTGTTGGTAATAACGACCTGAAAGGTGTTCGGATTTCTTTTCTTCCCTGCTCTGAAGCCTAGGATGCTGTTTTCATCTGTAGTGTGAATGAGGGCTAGCGACTCCAGCCACAGTTACCTTCCTGTTTCGTTTCTGCCATTCACTCAATGCAACATAATCAAGAATAAAGCAATATAGTTTACTACATTTTTACTGAAGGCCAGCCATGGTTATGTATGATATTGCATATGAAACTGTTTACAAAAAAAAAAAAAAAAAACCAACACTAACTCATAGCTGTCTTTTATGCTATGGAAATGTCTCTTGGGTGGAATTTTCTGAATTCTTTTTTTTAGTGGTTTGGTTTGTTTTTTTAAGCGAAATAGTTCAAACAGAAAACTGAAGTTAGTGTAAGGTGAAGAGACAGGATGCATCGAAGACACACCGGCAGATCCCGGTCTGCGCACAGACACTGTAGAGTTTCATACGTACAGAATCCAAGTCAAACCCATTGCTGTGTGCGAACACTACGTGAGGAGATTCTGTAAGCTAAGCAATACTTTAATACTGTAATAAAAATTACCAAAAAAAAAAAAAATAAAAAAACAAACCTTAGTTTGAGAAAGTAAATCCTCGTGATCGGTTCTCGGTTCCCAAACAGTCCGACTGTGTTGTCTCGAGAGAGCTCCGTGTCCGAGCAGGGTGAAGCCCCGGCAGCCTGGGGGGAAGCAGGACTCGCCCGCGCGCCCGGCTCTCTGTTCTGTACATACTCGTAACACCACGCGTGGGCTCGTGTGTCGCGTCGACCGTCGTAGGTAGCAAATCCCCGTCATTCTCTGTTGTACGAGGTCTGAACTCCATCAGTACTAGGATGCAAGTCTAAGCATTTCAGGTGGTCATAAATGTACCTAAATAAACTATGGCACAGTGGCAGGCCTAGCCCTTCCTTTTATACTTTAGTATGAACTGATGAGAACTTTGGTAGTGACTTTTTTTTTATATATATACATATATATATGTATCTATATATATCAAGCATCTTTCAGGTCTCTGTGTATGGCTTTCTAAAGCCCTGTTGTAAAATACTATGTGGATGGGGGTCTCTCACATCACAGATGTGGAAAGTATAATTTTATATTTGTATTTTCAAATAAATAAGTTTGTGAAAGGTTTCCATCCTCTACTGTGGTCCAGAAATCAATGTGTTTGTCTGACGAAAAAATACAATAAACTGTTTTGAACAGATTCGTGGAGTCCCTTTCATTCGGGGGGGTGAAATGTTTATTCCTGGGGGGAGGCCAGCGGGCAGCCCTGTCCCCCCTCCTGCTCCTGCTGGGGGGGGCTGGCCCTGGGGAGGGCTGGAGCATCCCCGTCCCCAGCGCTCCAAGTCTAATCCCTTGTGCTGCGCACCGCCGGGCACCTTTTTGGCATCGCATCCCTGCCCCAGGGACCGTGTCCTTGCCTGGAGAAAGTCCGAATTAAGGGGGCCGTGGCAGCACTGCTGTACTGCTGCCGCCGACCTGCCCACCCCTGCAGACCCATCAAATTGGTGTCAAAATAACCCGGCGCAGGAAACATTAGGTAAAGGACATCAGTGGCAAGTGTCACCATTTTTAATGGCTTCCACTCAACCCCACTT